GTTTTTCGGCTCCTCGGTGGCCCTGCACCGTCAGAGCCAGGGGCAGAGCCGCTACCTGTGAGTGCCGGGCGGGCCAGGGGGCGAGGGGTGGCAGCGGCAGCCGGGTCAAGGGCTGCCCTGCGATGCCTGACCGGGGACGGAGCAGCAGCCAGTGCGGGGCGCCGGGAGGCCTCGGGGGCATGAAAGGCTGGCACTCCCCCGTGCCTGGGAGGGAGGGGAAATTGTCTGTCTATGTGTGTGTGTATGCATCTCTCTCTCTATAGAGGTCTAGCTATATACACATCTATCCAGGGGTGTACTTGGTAGCTGTGTTGGTCTGAGACGAGAAGGCATACAAAAAACTGGAACTCTTGGTTCCAAAATGGTCCCTTGTATTTGGGATAATAAAAGGGATCGTTTTGGAACCGAGAGTTCTAGTTTGCTGTGTATCTAGATCTGTACACTTTTATATCTCTCTTGCATCTATATATAGATATGTCTAGAGATGGCTAATAGATGTGCACGCGCGCTAGCTCAGAGTTTCCTCTGCTGGCTTTTTGATTTAGTGGTGCTGACCTGCCGGGAGCCCTCTCTCTAAGCTCTCCGTGTCAGGATAATGTGCTGGAGTCCGGCAGTGCCTGACTGAGAGTGAACAGCCTGGGGTTAGTATTTGCAGGGAGAGGCGAGGAATTCTCCAGGATCAGTTGGGCATTCCAGCAATGCTTCTCTGCGTGGGTCAAGCCCTCCCAAAAGAGGACAATCTGTGGCTCTCTCTTGCTGCCCCTCTTTTGCCCCCAGATCCCCGCTCCCTTGGGCAGCTTGTTTTCACTGAGAACCTGGGCAGCTTGCTTCAATAAACTGGGAACCTAACTTTCCTTTCCATTCGCCTCTTGCAGCCTGGGTAGATAGGGGCTGGCTCCTTGGACAGCAGCATCATGCTGGCTTGAGTAGAAAGGCCGGTGCGATGCCCATATGGTCCTGTGCTGTCCTGCACCTTGCATGAGCATTGACGCCCCTGCCCAGTGTTACTGCCCGGAGGCAGTTGTGCAGCACAGTCACTTTGCACTAGCAGAAATGTCTTCATGAGAGCCACAGGGACTCGGGCCCCTTGGGGGTTTTGAAGTCGGGAGCCAGCTGGAGGGTCTGTCTCTTCTATTGAAGCACAGATCTTGTGCCCGAAAGAGAGCTCTCACTGCAACAGCTGCAGGGACTGAAGGCATCTGCTCTGCATTCCAGAGATTCATGCTGAACACTGGCTCTCCATGGAGTGTGGGATTCTTTTTTCCCTCTCAAGAGGGAGTGCACTGGTTCTGTGTCGCTCCCTCTCTAGAACAGCTGCTGTGTTGGGGAAGGGAGGAGGTGGGTGCCGCCCCGCTCATGGTTCTTTGCAGGGAAAGTTGGCTTGCAGACAAGACCATGTGCAGTAGGAGTTGACGGTTGTTGCTGGGCCTCCCCTGTGCTCGGGAGGTGTTGAGGGAGTGTTGTGCAATGGTTAGAGTGCTCAGTTAGGGCTTGGGAGAACTAGATCTAGCTCTGTGCTGTGCCAACAGGCTCCTTGTGTGCCCTGTAGCAAGTCACTTAGTTTCATTATGTTCAGATCCCTGCATGGAAGTTGAGGATATTAGCCTTGCTGGACTCGCCAGGGGGTGTACATGAGACCTGGGCCAAGCCATCTTGCATGTGCCATGGAGTAAGGGCATATTGGCATTCATAACTAACGTGGAACCTATTGCCACAAGGATGTCTTGGAGGCCAGTAGTATAACCAGGTTCAGAAAGGGATTAGACAAGTTTTTGGAGGGCAGGTCCATTGGGCAGACTTACTACTGAAAACTGGCAGATTGTCACAGGAGATGCATCATTCTGTATGTGCATGCCATGGTTATTACTCTGATCCTGTAACTACTCATTTGCTACTTGCCCCTGTTGGAGACGGGATACTAGGCTGGGTGGACCCAGGGTCTGACCCAATGTGGAGGTTATGATGATTAGTTACAAAACAGCTGATGCATTTCACACTTACTCCCTAGCTTACCTTGTGGTAACTCATCTGCACAGTTGTGCCCTTAGGTAATGGAGTTAATAACACAGAGGGATCCAGACTAATCTAAAACCCACTCTTTTACAAGGCTCTTTCCTCTTCCCAGAACACTCTCACCTTGGGTTGGCATGGGACCCAAATAGACTCTTCCATGTTGGAAGACCAAGTCCATGGGGTCCATGTTGGAGACCAAGTGAGTGGATCCTGTGAACCAGAGGATCTTTGCAGTGAGCCCACGGAATAGGGGCTCTTGCCAACTCCTGCTGCTCCTAAATCTGGCTCTGCACTTTGCTTCTGCTCCCCAAAGTCTGAAGCCTGCCCCTGATGCCAAGCTCTGACGTTCTGATTCATGCCAAATACTGGCTGCTTAGACCCTGCCCCAGCTGAGAGATTCTTCCAAAACCATGTCCTTAATCCATCTATGAGATCTGGTCTCCCAGCTGCATGCATTTGGAAGGCATTTGCTGCGTACTCCCTGTTTACTGCTCAAGCAAGGTTCTTCCTAGAGTGGGAGTGGAGGGGCCTACAGGGACAATCATCTGTGGCTGGGGATGAGGAGGGAGTAAGTGGGATGAATGCAGAGCTGCACATTCCTGAGAAGGACGGCAAGGGGAGTCCGAAGGGCAGCAGCAGCTTTTGCAAGCCTGACCTTGAGCTGGACCTTCTTCTGTGTATGTGTTAGCTTTGGGATGAAAAAGTTGAGCAACTGGGTGCTAAAGGGCAGGTATGAACTACCTGCATCCCCACGTGCAGTGCTGCACAACCAGCTTGCTGGGTTCCTGGCTGTGGGTGAAAAAGGGGCCTGCCTCTGAAGCAGCAGGTGTCAGACCCAGGATGTAGGCTCTGGTAGTCTCATGTGATCATGTCTCTATCTCCTGAGCACAGCCTTGAGTTTGCTTCTCTCCCCAGACCCCTGCACCAGCCTGAGCCTTTAGATGGTGTGAGTACCAGGGATTAAACTTGTGCCCTCTGAATCTTGGTGTGCATGTCTGTAACTTCATATAAAAGGCCCAGCTCTGGGAACCGAAGCTGTAACTGATACAGTTATATCAGCTCTGTGACCGAGCCACTGCAAAGGGTAGTGCACACAGTGCCAGGTTGGGTGGGTGTGGAGTATACTTGTGTCTGTGGGGTGGCTTGCCGTGGCAATACCCACACAGCCCCCTGTGTCTCTGTGCCAGCATTGGGCTGTAGGAATCAAATGTCAACTCCTCTTCTAGCTAATGGATGTCTCAATATGATCCTACCCCAAACCTGAGGGAAGGTGGCCAGTAGTGGTGGTGGTGGGAGTGGTTGCCTTCCACCTGCTCTTCCCTCTTTTGTGGCTCAGCCTTGAGACTTGGTGACAAAAGTGGCTGAGTTCAGGTTGCATCGTGGACTGGAGAGGAGTGGGCTAGGATTGCAAGCAGACCCCACCTAGGTGGAACAGGGTCTAGTCCCCAGTGACCATCTGCCAGGGTTTCTGTTCCTGCTGCGGTGTGAGGACAGGTATGGTGGTGACTAGGCTGGTTTGGTCAGGACAGGAGGGACAAGGGATCCCAGTGGCTCTTTCACCCTCCCCCCTCAGGTCCTGGGGCTTTTAGTGCTGCTGTTGACCCCTTCCCTCCCAGCTGTGAGGTGACCAAAGTGTCTGCCCTGCTCTGTGTGGCTAGTCAGAGGCAGGTTTGCAAGGCCCAAGGACTGTGGCTCCTAACAACCCCTCCCAGTAGCTGTCTCTTGGCCCGCCTGCTTCCTGGTCTGAGGTTCTTGTGGTGTGTCTGCTGCTGCTGGGAGAGCAGGTCTCCAGACGTGTCGATAGCAGGTCTCACACTCAGGAAGGGCTTTGGTGGTTAAAAAGCACTTAGAGCAGCCAGATTCTCAGTAGCTTCGAGCAGTGGACCTCCTTTGGAGTCGGCTCCCTGTTTGGAGCAATGTGGCTCCTCTGAGGTCTGGGCTATAGGCCCTCAGTTGACGTAACTTCTCAGAGGAACACTGAAGTCAGTGGGGCTATCCAAGTTTATACCAACAGAGGAGCTGGCCCCAAATGTCCATTATTTCTCTCTGCTGGAATTCCCAGGGGCCTGGTAGAAGCTGTGAGTATTCAGATTCCTACAGTGCTCACTCCCCACTGGCCATTGGCCCCTCTGTCATGGGCAGGGGGGTGTTTCTAGGAGGTCTGGCTTGGGGTCCTGTCACTGCTGCGCTGGAGCAGGTTGGAAGTGGCCTAGCTTTCTCATTCAGTGACCAACACCAGTACAGCAGGAGGTTCCTTCCTGACCCCTGGCTGACTGGGATCCTGAAGGATGAGGATGGTGCCAATGCCCATGACACTCTGCACAGGAGTCTATTTCCCTGCTAGCCTCATTCACGTAGCATCTGGGCCCATGCTCATGTTGCAGTCTTGGCCTGCGCACAGGCCATCACAGTGGGTCCTAAGGTGCTTTATGTCTGGAGTTGAATAGCAGGTGGCAAAGAGGGTTGAGGTTACCATAGAAAGGGGGTTAGTGTTGTGCATGGGTCTTGGTGAGTTCTTACGTCTCTCATTTGGGTGGAGTGAGGCCAGGGAGAAGCAGTCCTTTGTGGAAGAAGGCATCAAAGCTGCTGATTCCTTTGTACCTGGTCAGGGAATCCAGAAGAGAGAGGACTTGAGTGCCGTAAAGACAAAGAGCGTTCTCTGTTGTAGTTCTTGGCTGAAGACATTGCCCTGTGGTTCTCTTGGCTTCTGCTTCCTGGTCTGTGGTGCCCAGTGGTGTGACTTGGCTTGGAGGAACTGGTCATGTAAGGCACAGCTCACTACATAGCCCCCTGTGCCGGGTGTCTAGGAGAGCAGCCTGCTATGGGGATGGGGGAGGCAAGCACAGTGGGCGCTGCCTACTCTGAGCTATTCAGAGTACTACTTGGAAGACAGCTTTTGATACAGCTCCCTGTACCCATGTGCATAACCTAGGAATTGCAAGAGCAAGCCAACCCCAGAGCCCCACTGGTTTAGTAACCTGTCTGTAAGTTTTCTAAAAATATGAGCTGTGTGTTCATCATGCATCAAAAAGGCATGCAAAATG